TTTTCACCACCAGAACTTTAGTTTTGTAAGTACTTTAGAACCATTTAGAACCATGCATTGCCCAAGCCTAATGGCCATATAGCCCAGAAAACCTACAACAACCCAGTGATTCCGGCCATGAAAGCCTTCGACAATACGAAGAAAAAACAGTTTTATATGAAGAGTTGGAAGCAACTGAATGAATAAACATCAACAAGAGCATCCTGTTGCAAAAAATATATATCTAGTGTGTCTACACTACAGAATTAATGTAGTTTCATACCGCTTTATATCTTCCATGGTTCAATGCTATGGATTCCTGGGAGATATAATTTGGCAGTCTTTTGCAAAGAAGGTCAAACATTTTGCAAAACTACAGTTCCCAGGAGTCCATAGCATTGAGGCGCGACAGTTCAAGCGGTGCAAAACTGCATTAACTCTGCAGTGTAGACACACCTCTTATGGTGAGAACTGCTCAACAGAGAATTGGATCTGTTGAGCAGGTGGTGAATCCTCAGGATAATTAAAGAAATATCCATGTCAACATAAATAACAATGCAAAACAACAAGCATAAAGATTCCTGCCGAAAACAAACCGATATATAATCAATTTTGCAGCCGGGTCTAAGAGTGTGGTTGATGATAATGATGATTTTCTTTGCACAGAGCAATGCTCAACCTTTACTTTGCAAAATGCAAAGCATCAAAAGATGCTGCGGCACAATTTTCCAATATTTATGCAGAGAGCTGCCTTGTTTACGAACGCAATGAGCGACGTTTGTATGTCAGTAAACAGGCCTGGCCTCGTTTCCCCTCCAAGAGCTTCTTCCAGGCCCAATTGGAATGCATTACATGGCAGTGTAGACGCCCACAATGCCGTTCAGAACTGTATTGTTGTTAGAGACCCTAAATTGGGTCTTCTTAGGTCCACATCACGGGAGCACGTAAGGAAGGAGACAGTCCCAAAAAAAGATCAAAAAACAAGGTTTATTTTAGTTTCTTCATGAAGAAGACGGACAGCCTGGCAGCATACGCAGATGATACCCTTCAAGTGACTGCCGCGCCCCTCCTCTGTTTCTGTTGACCTTTATACTCAAGTAATAGGTCATGAAAGGACTCTCTTTCCAGCCCCCCTCCCTTGACCTTTTGATGGAAAGTACCTTCTTGTACCTGCAGACTTTGCACTTAACCACAACCTTTGGCTTAACCACAACACAACTTCCTATGTAAGATCAAAATTTGTACGACCTCTACATGTCACATCTTGTTTCTCAAAAACATTTTCTTCCGTGCTGCTCATTTCATTTAAAGCCCCTTGCTTAGCATTTCCAAATTTCACTCAAAGACCCTTTCATTATGAATCCGCTTTATGTAGAAATTCAGGTGGGGCCTCCTTCTCTGGAGGATGGCCATCTGTCGGGAGGGCTTCCTGGCAAAATGAGGTTGGACTAATCCAAAGCATGAGTTGAACTAATCCAAGGCATCCAAGGATTCTTGGATTCATACAATCCAAGAATCCAAACCATGAAGCAAGAAATATTTGGACAAGAATCTTCCAAGCAATGCTTCCTTGAAACAAGGACGAGAACGACACTTGATTCCAAACGATGCTTCATCTGACTAGATTTCCCACACTTGGAACTTTTATCCCCTCGTTAAGCTATTCCATGTACTCAGGAATTGGTTCCGCTTTACTTGAGATCCCCTTATCTTTTTCTGTCGGAGCCTGGCAGAACGCCGAAGGCACTGTTCGGCCTGTCTGTTTTGACTAATCTCCTGCCGCCTATCTATTTGCTCATTAAGTTTTGCAGCTGGGCCAGGTGCCTAGTTGTTTTCAAACCCCAAATCCTGGGAACTGTCTGGTAGCAATTCAGGGAATACACCAGTGTTTCTCAACCATCCCACTGAAGTGACCCCTTAATGCAGTTCCTCATCTTGTGTTGACCCCCAACCATAACATTACTTTAGTTGCTCCTTCACAACTGTAGTTTTGCTACTGTGATGAATCATAATGTAAATATCTGAGATGCAGGATGTATTTTCATTCACTGAATCACATTTGACTACTACTGGTGGGGTTGTGGGGGAGGTTGATTTTGTTATTTGGGAGCTGTAGTTGCCGGGATTTATAGTTCACCTACAACCAAAGAGCATTCTGATCTCCACCAACGATGGAATTGAACCAAAATTGGCACACAGAACTCCCATAACCGTCAGAAAACACTGGAAGGGTTTGGTGGGCACAGACCTTGAGTTTTGGAGCTGTAGTTCGCCTACATCTAGATAGAGCACTGTGGACTCAAACAATGATGGATCTGGACCAAACTTGAAAGGAATACTCAATATGCCCAAATATGAACACAGATGGAGTTTGAGGGAAATAGACCTTGACATTTGAGAGTTGTAGTTACTGGGATTTACAGTTCACCTACAATCAAGGAGCATTCTGACCCCCACCAATGATAGAATTGGGCCAAACTTGGCACATGACCTACACGGCCAACACTGAATACTGGTGGGGTTGGCGGGGCTGTTTTTGAATTCTGGGAGTTGTAGTTCACCAACACCAAAAAGGAAGAGAAGGACAGGCAGAGAGATTTTTGGGCCAAATTCCTACACAGAACCCCCATGACTAACAAAAAGTTACTGTGTTTTCTGATGGTCTTTGGCGACCCCTCTGACACTCCCTCGTGACCCACCCAGGGGTCCTGACCCCCAGGTTGAGAAACATTGGAATACACTATCATCTCACACCCTTCAGGGACATTCTCATGGGAAACTACACTTGACACAGGGTTCTCCTGTTCCTTCTCTGCATCAGTATCATTGGCCAAACCAGTGACCACCCCCAAGGGTCATCTAGTCATAGGATCTTACTTACTTACTTAGGCGATCCCTCATTGGACGAGTAAGATAGTCTTCCATGATGGGTTTCCTTGTGGGTCTGCATGTGGCTGTGGAGCCCTCTTCTTGACATGCATCTTCCTCCTGGCACGTTTCTCTCTTTCACCCTCCACTCGTGCCTCCTCGAATTCTGCAGCACTGCTGGTCACAGCTGACCTCCAGCTGGAGCGCTCAAGGGCCAGGGCTTCCCAGTTCTCAGTGTCTATGCCAGAGTTTTTAAGGTTGGTTTTGAGCCCGTCTTTAAATCTCTTTTCCTGTCTTCCAACATTCTGTTTTCCGTTCTTGAGTTCGGAGTAGAGCGACTGCTTTGGGAGACGGTGGTCAGGCATCCAGACAACGTGGCCGGCCCAGTGGAGTTGATGGCGGAGGACCATCGCTTCAATGCTGGTGGTCTTTGCTTCTTCTTCCAGCACGCTGACGTTTGCCCCCCTGTCTTCCCAAGAGATTTGCAGGATTTTCCGGAGGCAGCGTTCCAGGAGTTGCATGTGACGTCTGTAGACAGTCCATGTTTCGCAGGCATAGAGCAGGGTTGGGAGGGGAATAGCTTTATAAACAAGCACCTTGGTCTCCCTACGGATGTCCCGGTCCTCAAACACTCTCTGCTTCATTCGGAAAAATGCTGCGCTTGCAGAGCTCAGGCGGTGTTGTATTTCGGCATCGATGTTGACTTTGGTGGAGAGGTGGCTGCCAAGGTAGAGGAACTGGTCAACATTCTCTAATGTTACACCATTAAGTTATATCTCTGGCATTGGGGAGGGATTGGCTGGTGTCTGCTGGAACAGCACCTTGGTTTTCTCCATGTTCAATGACAGGCCGAGCTTCGTGTATGCTTCTGTGAAGGTGTTTAG